TATATTCTTTCTTTGATGTACATAAAATTTTGATGGGCTTACTTGTTTGAGATTTTTTTTTTTTTTTTGGTAAATTTTTGTTTGAGATTTTTACTTTTACAAAATTCACTCAACAATTTTTCATTCAACAAAAGTAAAAAAAAATTAAAATTTTAATAATTTTAACTACCTTAACAACTTTATTAATGGGGATAAGCATAGTCCAATACTGGTAGCCAAGCCAAGACAAAAGAGCACACAGATCAACATACCTACCATGCATAGGATCCTAAAATCCCAGGTGCCCCACATCCACAGATAAAATTCACTTAGCAATAACAAATTAACAACCACATTCACAAAAGAGCCTCAGCACAATAAAAAATCTAAATCAGCAAAAGCAAGCCTTCAAAGTTAGCTTAATTAATTAAATATTAATTCAACTTTATACTCCATACGTCAAATCAGATATAGATCTATACTACCAAAGATGCACAGTTTACATTTAGAATATGATCAACTCACATGTTTGTAATAAAACGAGGAAAGATCAGATTTTCCTTGTAAGTTAACTGGATAAGGAAAGCAGCAAGCCATATGATGATTGTATAGTTTTCCAATTGTGAAAGGAAAATAAGTAAGGTCGATAGATGCGCATGAAAAACTGCGTGCCATTGGGTCGTATTTAATTTATCAGTCATTAGTTTCCCTCACATGCTAATCAGGCTTCACATGAAAGAGCCAGAGGACAATTATTGCTTGTGGAGAAAACAAAGTGAAATAACAACATGTATAACACCATCAAAGAGATTATATTGAGAAAAATATGCTTAAAAAATGACTAAAAAAAGGGAACTTGATGACATATCCCCAATAAGAAAAAGGTTTTGTTGGGTAAATTCTCATCATCATCAACTTTTGAATCTGAAGTACTTACTAGATATATCCACACAACATCAACATACAATAGTATAAAACAAGCGATATCAACACTTGTCATAAGAGAGGGTTGAGTTGAGTTCAGCCAGTATGGCAGTATATATATGTAATAGGCTCATGTCAAGATGTTAATTGGAAGACTGTTAATTTGTATATATATGGGAGATGATTTTTTATTTGTTTAATGAGGGCTAATATATCTTTTGAGTTTTGTACGTTAAATGGGTTTTGGCTCTTTTAATAAAATTTCTTTCATTATTCAAAAGAAGAAGAAGAAGAAGAAGAAGAGAGTATTTGATTGGAATAGCCTAGAAAAAAAAGTGGGGTAGCTATTAAAGGACTTCAATGAATGTACAGTAGAAATTAGCCTGAAGATTTAGGTGCTACAGTGCTATATCTTCAACCAAAAGGTAACCCATTAAGTTGCATTTAACTCTCTTTAAGAAACTCAACAAACCAAAAACTAAAATAAAACAACCTACATCTCCTCCCAAGAACCGTGCTAACTAGCCCACAGACAAAAACCTTGTACATTAATTCTCACATTATATCTTCCTATGTCAACTAATCAAAGTCACTGGGGTTTCTGTCATTGGCAATAAGACTTATTTCTAATCACTATTGTATATGCTTATGTGCTAAAATCTAATTGATTCAATATACCAACCTCACATATAATTGGGATCCATATGTTGGGCAGAATCTTCCAAAACAACTTTTGACTTCCTGGATAAATCATTATGCTAGATGGATAAGTAATTTATATTTGGCTCAAAGCATAAATAATCACGCAGTAAGTATATATCCTTAAAAAAATTTCACTAGTATACTTTCTTCAAGCTAATAAATTTAATATGAATTCTACCTGTGGGGAAACACAATGGATTGAAGAGAAAGAAAAGACTTGAAAACTTCTGCCACCCATCCAGTTTTACATTATTTTTATTCACCAAAAAGAAAGTTACATTATTCTTTATATATTAACATCTTACTGAAAAACATATATGAAAAAAAAAGGCTTCTATACTAAACAGATACTGCTTCTAATTAAGTTCTGATTAACTATGAACACACAAAAAAGGCTTTTTTTTTTTCTCTCTAAATTCCCAAGTCTGTAACAGTGATGTAAACAGCTAGCACATCACATCCTTGAGAAGCTTGTACCTGCGAGTAGTGGGCCGGGGAGACGGAGGGCCGATGTTCTTTCCCTGCCTCTCGGTGGCGCTCACTTCCCGATCTTGTTGCTTGATTTTGTCGCCGGAATACTCGGATCTGTTTGTGATTCCGGCGACGTTTCCGCTTCCAGCTGACAATTTCTTCGAACTGCTACCGTTCTTTGCGTTTCTTTCTTCGCTTTGGCACCAATCGCAGAGCTTAATCGGCTCCCCAAACTCGCTGTAGTAATTGCTGCAATACCTAGAAATAACATAATCAGGCGAGGTTAATTTGGATCAAAATTTTCCTCCATAAAATATAACTAATTAATTTCCATGAAATATGAGGAAAAAAAACAGATAGGCGCGGGAAACGTGATGCTTGTGCCGTGGTGGATTGTGAATTCAGGCGAAATTCGCGGATGAATTCGGTTACGGGTAACCATCAAGGATATGATTATGATGATTGATGATGAATGGAATGTTATGCACATGTATACATGCTCTTATAGATGATAATGATCATGCCGTATGTCTATATATATATCTCTATATGCATAAAAATGGCGATGATTGTGATGATGGTTTGGCGATGGATGTGATGTAGATTAATATTTGGAAGGATCGGGAGAGAGGCGGCGGCGTACGAGTGCTGAACCCGGTGGCGGCATTTGTTGCAGCGGAAGAGCTTGTCGGAGAAGCCAACGTCGCCGCACATGCAACAAACAGTCTGAAGATCCACCATTGTTGAAGGCTCCGAGGCGGCGGAGAGAGACTGAAGATGAAGGGAGAAGTAACAGAAAAGAGTGATGATTTCAAGGTTGGTGTATAAATATATAAAG